ATATATATATATATATATATATATATATATATATATATATATATATATATATATATATATATGTATATCAGTTATGTACTGTGCAGTGTTTAGTTTAGATATATGTATATACAGGCTTCGGCATATACATATTTGTGTACACCTCAGCCTACTTTTAGTTTTGTCGGCTCAGTGGCTGCCGTTTTTTTCTGTACATTTGTAGACAGTTGGGGGAACACAAGAAATAAAGAAATGCATAAGAGCTAAACGCACAGCTAATTATTATTATTACTAACGAAACTATTATACTTTTATTAAGCAATTATTATTATGACAATAGTAGTGGAAATAGTAGTAATAATTACTATTGTAATTATGAGTAACAATCCCTAAAACGAGAACAATGAGCATAAGAAAAATAAATAGCAGTGGTAGCAGCGACAATAAAAATAAATATTATAAAAGTAGTAGTAGTAATTAAACTGTACAAATGCGTTGAGGAAAACGAATTCGTTTTCTTGGCGTTTGTACCCTCAGTCAAGTCTTGGTCTGACGGACATGAACAGATCCGTCACCGTTCTAAAGAGACGCATAATTACTGGCTCGTCGCCATCTGCTGCTGGTGCTGCTGGTGCTGCTTCGGTCTGCTGCTGCAGCACCTCGGACCCTACAGGGGGGACCATCTCCTGGCCCCCTTCCCCGTATGCAACTCCCATATGAGGTGCAACAGCCATGGCGCCTTCTGCTCCTCCTTCTATGCCACTGCTGGTGTGCAGTGGCTGCTGCAGCGGAATCGGTTGGGTTAGGGCCTCGGTAGAGAGGGGGCTCCCAGTACTGTTGAAGCTGCCGGTGCTGCTGTAGTCGCTGTTGCTGACGCTGCTGTAGCTGTTGTCACCGTTGCTGTTAGCAGCCGCAGAGGAGAGAGCTGCAGGGGAGAGGGCCACCAAGAACACGGCGACCGCTGCGAGGGCCCAGCCACGCATTTTGTTTCTGTCTCCGCCGAAGAAAAAGAAAAACCGTCGACCAATGAAAAAACCAAAGGCTTGAAAAACAAAATTAAAAGTTAAAAAGGAAGGCTGACAAGCCTTAGTGCATATATACTAGAAAGACCTCAAGGTGCCGCATCAACACCCAGCAGCAGCGACGAGTGGTCCGGTGGACGGCTCCCCCACAGGAAAGAATTGGAGTATCACGAAAATTTAAATTTAAATTTAAACTTATTTACAGTAGTATATTTAATTTATTTGTGTTTTTATTTGCCTCTGCGGCCAACATTCGCAGGCTCCACGCCTCAATGAAGCTGCAGTGCACCACCGGTTTCTGTGGCCAAGGCCGCAGAGCGGTTCCCTTCGAGACCGCTGGGTGTCTCGTTCGGTGAGCCTTGAGATACAAAAAAGCAACTAAATCTGTGTAAAATAAAGAGAAAATGTAACCTTTTAAGCATTTTGTTCTTTAATAAATTAATTTATTTATTTAGATTCAACGAATGCACACATTGACCAGTAATACACAAGACAGCGAAGAAACCGGGCGATATACAACCACACAAAATACTGAAGTGTACTGATGCCTCTCAACAAAACAAAAGCATGAAAGCTCATTTGCAGAAAATGCATTCTTTATAAGCAAGAAGAGCATTAAAGCTGTTGACCTGTGCAGAACTACGCGGCGCATGCACAGCAAGAGGACGCTACTAACGAGAGCACTGGCGTCAGGACCCTGGTGTCTTGCAGTACTGTTGAAGTAATTAAATATCCTTAGAATAAGAACTGTTCCCCATCAGCCTCCGTGGATCCTGGGCACAGCTGCACCAGCTCCAGGGGCAGGTGCGCTCAGGAGGCGGCGAATCATTTGTTGCAGCACTCTTGACTGCAACTCCTGCTGCAAGGCCACCACACCTGAAGCATATACACGCGATCCCGCTCCACTTTAATGCATGTAAAACTACAGTACTCAATTGCTAATCAGTTCGTTGGCCCTCAGTAGTAAAAGAACTTCCGTGCTGACTGGCTACTGAGCACCGACTCCAAAGTGACCATGCTCTAGCTATCCGCCCGCACGTTAGCCAAACAAGAAACACCCTCTTCTGAAAGCAATGGGTGCACAGCGGGGAGAGAAGGAGGGCAGAACGCGAGCTACGTATCGAATGTATGGCGAAATTCTCGGTTTGCTTCTCCTGGGCGCCGCCAAAACCTGCAAACCCATCAAAACTGAATAGGCGGAATGCAAGTGGCAAAGGAACGCCTTATGTGGCATTGTTTTTGCGTGGAATCTCTTCTTCTTAGATTACCGAGCTGCTGCTGCAAGCTGTGTAGCGAAATATGCGGAAACTACCCTACGGGGTTCGCTAGCACCAGCCATGAAGAAGGGAAAAGATGTCGAGTAGACCGCTACAAACCCACTTCGCATAACGAATGAATTCAGGCAACTCCAATGCGTTGTACTGCATACACAGTATCGAAGCGGAGGTGAAGAGTCCCAAAGACTCAAGATCGATGGCTCTCTTTATATGCCCTGGGTTTCAGTAGCTGACTATCATCGAATCGTCGACACCACTTGGGAGAGTTGCCAGGCAAATATTGCAATCCTCGTTGAAAAACTGCTAAGTGAAGGCGACTACGCGAATATTGCTATTCGCCTTCGATGATTCCAGTAAGCGTTGCTAGAAAAAGGAGAAATGCGATAGGAATTTGGGTTCTCGTAGCGAGCCCAGCTCGGACAGCAGCACTGCAGACGAAGATCTTGACACAAGGTGGAAATATAGGGGCCGCCGAAAGGATCTATGCTATTCTGTGAGTTCAAATTACTTACAGGAAATATATTTCTGGCTTGTGTGCATTGCTGATCCAGACGGCGTAATTTCTGGCTCGGTTCGGGCCCTGCACTGTAGGCGGCAGCACCGCTGGCTGTCGCCTCTAGAGTTAGTTCTTAAACGAAAGTGCAAATGATATTCACTGCGGTTAGCTCGCGAACTCCACTTGTTATTATTTCTAACTAGTAATCTAGGGGTTTCTTTCTTTATAAGTTATTAGTGTTGGCTATCACACATACAACAGAGGCTACAGCTACTGCGACTGTAATGTATTGTAATGCACGTGACTACACAGTGTGTCATGCGGCTCAGTATAACGGTTGCTCTCGGGCCTTAATTAAGGAGAGAAGCGAGCTGCAATGCAGGGGAAGACTTGAAATAGGAGTTTCCCAAGAGCACCTGACCTCCTCCCCCTGTCCTCATGCATCCTGGGCATTGAGTTCAAGCCTGGATGTTGCGGGGCGGAAGCAGCCTGAAAAGAAGTTGCAGCGCACCTCTATGCGGCTGGTAATACAAGCCAGTCTCACGTGTGCACACAAGGAATCTTCAACTTATGAGATAAGAGATCTATGGTAATAGTATTTCATCTATATTACTGCACTCGCATTTGTTTTATTGACGACTACTTGAATACTTAGGTCATTATAGCAGATATACGCTGCGTCTAGATTATACATGTAGAGTTTAAACACAGTAGGGTTTACATAAGGCACATACGCAGTGCTTGCTGTTCACTACAGCAGTGCTGCTGCTGCATTTTGGCCAGGCTGAAAAGAAGGCGACACTGGAGAAATGGTAATATGTTATTGTGTTTGTTTGCGCTGATGCTGCAATGCGATTTGAGAGGTGCTTGAAATGACTTTCCCTCTCTCGTCAGGCCTTACTACTACTACTGTATCCTGCAGATCGAAAGATGCATCAACTTGTGTACAGGTTGGCTACTGGCGGCCAACGAAATGATGAATGACTGCCAACAGTGTTGGCGCAGAGATCAGGATGGTGTCTGTGTAGGCTTGCTTGTAGGGCTGTCTATCAGCAAAAGATATATCTGACGATGACTCTGGCGCGAGTCAGTCTCTCGGCCGCAGCGTCAGTCTCACAGCCAGTCCCAACCGGGTGTGGCTGCTGAGCATTCTTGACTTGGTTATCTTAATTTTCTGTCTAAATAATACAACTTGTCTCTATAGGCATTGTATTCGTCCCCTACTTACATCTAACTAGGTCTCTTAGGGTTCCAGTTGAGCTCCGTTGTAGTGCCTCTGCAGTACAGCTGCTGCTGTTGCAGGGCCGCATGCAAAGCAGTGATCGGCTGATGAGTTGTTGCGGCGCATGATCTTCTACAAGGGTTCCGTTGCTTGACTTTCACGGCATAAGTATATTTTCTTTGTCTTCTTTTGGTCGGGGATACCGCGTCTAGACAACAATAACTACAACAACAACGGCAGCGGCGGCAGCAGCAGCAACGGTAGGGGCCGCGGCAACAGAAGGACCTGAAGGCTTGGAAACGAATTTTTATCTTTGCTACTGGTGGTTAAGCAGGTTTTTAAGCCGCATCTTCACCCTTTGGAACAGCGTCTGGCGCTGCAAGACCTACTGCGGAACCCCAGCCGCTGCTGCTGCTGCTGCAGCTGCGGCAGCAGCAGAAACAACAAGAGGCAGCAAGATGCATCCTCATAATATTTTGCCGGTCGGCCTGCCGCCCCCCGTACCCATGGGGGCCCAGCAGGGAGGGGGGGACTCCTCTTCGGGTCCTGACCTCTTGAGCTCTCTCAAGCCGTGCGCCTTGCCAAAGGATATGCCACTGCCAGTGAGCAGCAGAAAGGCAGCAGCAGCAGCTGCTGCGGAGAACAATGATGATGATGACACCGGGGGCTTCGACTGGAAGGGCCTCGCGCGGCCTTCGCAGAAGCAGCGGAGGCAGCAGCCACAAAGGAATGCCTCAGACGCTGTTGCTGCAGCCTCTCAGCGTATAGCTGTCATCACGGGGACTGAAGGATCCCATGGCGGAGCAGCAGCAACAGCAGCAGCAGCAGCACAACAGCAACACTCCAGTCATGCGCCTGAGCCCGAGCGCCCAGGTCCGCAAGACGGAACAGACGCCTTAGGACGTAGGGTGAGGCATCAACACCATCGAAGGCAGAGGCAGCTGTAGTAGTAGCAGCAGCAGCAGCAGGAGAGACAGCAGCAGATGTGGGTAGTTGCCACAGCGTTGTGGAGAGGCGATTGTTGGGCGCGTGCACGCCGGCTGCTGCTGCTGCTGCTGCTGCTGCCGTTGTTGTTGTCGTTGGATGGGTTTTGCATAATGTCCTGTTGTGCGCCACTCAAGCAACTGATGCAGCAGCAGCACTTTTTTTGCTGCTTCTGTAGCAGCGCTCGTTGCCTGTGTTTGCCTGCCTTTTAGAGATTCGATCGCTGCAGCAGCAACCGCTGTTTCTGCAGCAGCACGGACCACCCTTGATAGTGTTGCATTTGTTGCTGCATTTGCTGCTGCATTTGGTGCATTTGTTGCTGCTGCTGCTGCTGCTGCTTGCGTGGGTGCAACAGGTGTGGGATAAGGAATACTACGAGGAGAAGGCGAAGGAGAAGGCCTCGTTGCTGGGCGTTGATTCTTTTCTTGACTTGCTGCCAAAGCCGCGAGAGAAACCCAAGCCGCCCCCGTTGCCGCCGTGCGGCTACAGGCAACTGCTGCAGCGGCGCACGTTTAAACTCGACTTTGAAAGAGAAGTTGGACGCACCAAGATTGTCACGCTCCAGACACCCAGGATGCAGCAGGGAGGGTACTGCTCTTTCTTGTTCTGCTGCTGTTGCTGCTGATGCTGCTGCTGCTGCTGTTGATGATGATGGTGGTGCTGATCACGCCGGTTGGCCTGTTTCTGTTGCTGTTAATGTCGTCGTGCTTGCGGCGCTGCTACTGCTGCTCGCCATACCCTTCTTGGTGCTACAGCTTCCGCTGCTGCTTCTGCGGCTGTGTTGTGTACTGAAGTGGCTGCGTATGCTGTACCTGCTTACTGTACCAGCTTCCGTGCATCAGCCACAGCAACAAGAGCGACTGCAGCTGCATCAGCAGCAACAGGAAGAGCAGCAGCTCATCAGTGGCAGCAGCTGTGTTTTGTTGCGCTTATGTGCAGGTTCTGGTGCGACATATGCGAGTGCTTGTGCAAGGACTCGCAGGCCTATTTGGATCATATTAACGGGCGTAACCACAACCGTCTGCTTGGTGGGTTTTGTTTTCTTTTGGCATCTTTCTGCACCCCGAAGGCTGCTTAGGAGTATAGGCCTGTCATTTGCATATTTGGGGGGCTCATTTATGCCTCTTTGGCTTCGTAGCATTATCGTCAGGTCCATTGTTTGCTGCGAGAAGCGTCGTTGCTCGTTGTTATATACTGGTGCTGCTGTTGCTTGTTCTCGTGCGTGTGTATACAGGAATGAGTATGCGCGTAGAGCGGGTGCCCTTGGCACAGGTTAAGGCTAAATTGCAGGCAGCGCGGCAGATTGTCGGGGTTGGGGGGGAGTCGCTAAACCCAAAGACGAAGGCGGAAGCGCCTGTGAAGCAGCAGCCGCAGCAAAGCCAGGGAGGGGGCTCAGGGGCCCTGGTGGGCGGCGCTGGCGCCGAAGGGGAGGCCCCAGAGGCAGAAGATGAATTTGAAAGAGTCAAAAGACGTTTAGAGGAACTCCAAAGGGAGCAAGAGCTGAAAAAGCAGCGTAAGAAGGCAAAGAAGAAAGCTGCTGCTGCTGGGGGAGGCGGAACAACTAAAGCAGCAACAACAGGAGCAGCAGCAGGCAGCGGAGGATTGGAAGCCAATCCTGATGCTGCTGCTCTCGCAGCCATGGGGCTGCCGACTTCCTTTACTGGGTGCTGACTCTGTGAAGGCTAGTTGAACGCATGAATGCAGCAACAGCTGCTGCAGTCGTACCCTTCAGGCTACGACAAGCTCCTTCTGTAATGCTGGGGCCGTGCCGACTAAGAGCTGACTCTTTGCACCAATCCCTGAACTCCCAGCGCTCGGCCCTTAGCCAGTCGAAGGCAGGGCGACGGCCTGGAGCTTTAGAGGAGCTGAGTCAGACGGCTTCTTTGGCAGGTGCTGCAGCCCGCCCAGCCGAGCAGCGACGAGTGTTGCGAGGCATGAGGCTTATAGAGCGTATGGATAGTACCTTATGTAGCGCGGAATGGTGTTTTGTGCGTACAAACATTCCTTTAAGGCAAGGAAGCTCTGCGTGTAAGGGCGCTGTATGTGCTTTCTTGCATGGGTTTAGATATTTGTCCTCCTTCGGTGTCTGCTGCGCTTGGCTATTCATAGCTTTCACCGTCTTTGGTCTTCTGACAGACCGCAAGCGCATACAGCAATAAGCGCGTGAAACCCATTGTGGTCGAATACCCGTTGCCTTTGTATGGGTTGCTTGTCTGATGCGTTGAAAAGGGGTAAACTGTGAAGTGAAAGATGGTATTTACCCAAGGAAAGTGCCCGATAAGTATCGCAAGTATTTTGGGACAAGAATAAAAGGCAGATGGTGCGAGCACGTTCGCATGTTACAAGGATTCGTAAATAGTCCACCGACTTTTACCAGCTTCATGAGCTTACTCATGCTGAGTCCCACTGACGTGATTTGGTAGCTGGATGACGTTTGGTTTCGATAAAGCTGTGGAAGAGATCTGCAGAATCATGATCAGGGCTGAACTGCCTCTGAAGTATGCGGTGACTGGAGGCTCTCGCTTGGAGGTAGCTTGCTTTCTGGGATTGGGTGTTAAACACTCTACATGTTTTCAGGCTAACACCGTTGAAGCGGAAGCTTGTACAGAAGTACAACGGATATCGCGAAGTAATGCTCAGTGCTCCGGCGAAGAGTGATGCATATCGATATGCCCATCTTATACAGTTTTTTGCACAATTCCTTCCAGTGACAGCGTATCTCGAGTCCCTATACGAGTGCACCCATTGCAGGGACTGGGAGGATCATGTAGCCTGGGAAGAACAATTCCTGTTAGATTAGCTGTTCGAACTGGATTGCCCTTTGACGAATGAACTGCATGCTTTTGTGGATGCATCTGCAGAAGGGTATGGTTGGCACTGGGAGTGGGTAGAGAACCTGAATTATGACTTTCTTGCAGGATATATGATATTAGGTCTCGTATGGTCGGAGTCTATAGGGAATTACGAGTGTTGATATGGGCTGAAAGACTACTGAGAGGTGTAAATAGTATTCGCTATTTAACTGACCGTCAGCCGCTCACTATAGTCACTCATACTCGAGACCTCAGCCTCAGGCTAAGGAAAATTTGCGGACATTGCAGAAACAGTGGGAATATGTCCCAGGCAGAAACTTAGCCGGTGGGGCGTATCGACCTTGATACAATTCCGTGCCTCAACCATTCCTGCCTACATTTCATCCAGAATTCATGAGGATATGAAGATATCCCAGCCTGCTTTCGCATTCGTAGCAGCTCTCACACTTCGCACGAACACTATGCTTGTACGTTTGGCTGCAGCGTAAGTGTAATTCGCCCGAGGTTCAGCAGGGGACCCCCGGTTCTGCCGCAGGATCTGCGGAGTAAAACATGTCAGAAGCCTTGCTGATAGTGAGTTAACCCATTATATACTCAAGAAGCAAGCCCTCACGGGCCGGCAGTCACTGGTCCCTTGGTGCTGGAAGACACCCAATCAAATGATTGGATCCCCGATATATATATATATATATATATATATATATATATATATATATATATATATATATATATATATATATATGTATATAACGCAGAAATGCATGCGCTCCGTCGTCAAGGTCTTACGAAGACTGCAGTTTTGGATGATTCGACCATAGTAACACCCGATGGACAGCAGAAGTGCGCACAATTGAAGGAAGAATTCTCAGATGCATTCAACAACACAGGGCTAGATGGGACGCTCAATGCAGCACAACGATATCACTTGCAGAAATCACTTCCCGAGCCGGCCCAACCTTTGTTTCGAGGTGTAGGCGACCCCCACATCATGCAGGGGAAATCAATCGGTAGCCAGATCAAGTGCTAAGAAGAGCCAAGGTTCAACCATCAACTAACGCATTCGGGCACGCTCCAGTGCTGTCGAAGAGAGACGATGGGAGTTGGCACATATGCATCAACTTCAAAGCGCTCAATGAAATAACGGTGGAACAGAAGTTCCTGGTGCCACAAGTCGGTGAACGTCTTGATCGATTGAAGGACTCAGCAGTAGAATTGTCATTTGACTTTGTCGAGGCCTTTTTGCAGCTCCCAACAGGTCCTTATGACATGCACAAAACTGCGTTTCATACACGCACTCACAAACTAATGTACACCTCTATGCCTCTTGCGCTCGCCACTGCACAAGGCGAACTGCAGCGGTAGGTCGATAACGATTTCCTGCGGCCATTTAATAAGGGATGCACCGTTATACACATGGAAAATGTATCTTGACTGATTTGTAAAGAACTCGCACACTGAGGTGAATAGCTGATTAGAATGCGTGGAGAACGGGTTGCCATTTCGCTGCCACAGGCTTCGCAGTTGATGCAGAGATGAACTGATACTAGTTCTGTTGCTATTTAGCCTCTGATGGATCTCCAACAACGCGCTAATGCGGTCAAATCCCACCTGAAATTTATGCATTATTGAATTTCTCTTGGAATTCAACCTAACAATGTGGAAAGAACCGTCTACCTGCCTTCTGCGCTGGTTAGGCGAAGGCGGCGACAGGGTGGAGCTCTACGTCGCCCCCCACTGAACCCGGCCCATACAGAAAGCGTTCGGCACCACTCGAAACCCGGCAATTACACCATAAATGTCACATCATGTTATCGCAAATCATTTTATTCACAATTTAAACGCATTTTACATGTATCTATATGCGGTCCCATGCAAATTAAGTAGCGTATGGCACTACAGATGATCATCGATGGCTGTGAGCGGTAGGTGGCTGGAGAGAAGGGTTACGGCTTGAGTTTTAGGTACTCGTTGCCTTTAGCCTGCTACTATAGGGCAAATACATTATGGAATAGTGCGGAAGTGTCCACGATAGTAACATCTGCAGCAGACGACATGCAGTAGAGTTGTGCAGCCGAAGCCACTGAAGAGTCAGCCCTGAGACGGTAGGGCTTGAGTTCGAAGGCGGCACCCCATATATCCACATATACATTGAAATTATAAGACTACTTTTATGATTCCTACATAAAACGTGACAATAAGCCGATTCGATCGGCTAAGGGCGTCTTTTGACGCCAGTTTTCGCAGTTTCCTTCGCCCTCCTGCCGGCGCCATCTGACACCACATATGTATCGGCCGCTACAATGAACAGCCCTGAGGACATTTACCTACAAAATGAAGTCGTCGCATTGCATCAGAGTGTCCTTTCTTCCAGACGGAGGGGGGAACCGGCGAGACAGGCACTGTTAGCGGTCGCCTTCCTCGGTGCCGCCCTGAGCATGGCGTTTTTGCTGCTTCGCTGCTTCAAGCTCTTACAATCCAACGAATTCGCAGTGAATATGCGGAGGCTTGCAGAAGGAGGCCCAGGTGACTGCGGAGTACGTCTTGGCAAACAAGAGCGGGTACACGTGTCCCGTATCCGTGTATCGACCGGGAACGGCTCGAGCCACGCGGAGTTAATGCATCCGCACGCGTAAGTGGGCAATCGAAATGCTCGGAAGGAATACGGGAACTGTATTCTACAGAGAAGGGCTGCTGTTGCGACGGAATTTCCCTTCACCCGCACCCCCGCCCTTCCCGAACACGGGTTGCGAGCCTGATTCACTATTGCACTTATGAGGGCTAAATTTGTATACCAGGGAACTGTTGAATCATCATCCTGAATGGTCAGCGAGTTGTCACGCGATCGTATTGTCTCCTTCTTCGGCGGATGTAGGGCGGTTCTGCCGACGCATCGTGATGCACTGTGGCGCATGTACCTCACGCATTTTCCGTTGAGACATTCCCAAAATGGCGGTGAGAATGTCTCAACGGGCGCTGCACGTGAGGTACCTGCTCCAGAGAGGGAATCTGTATCCACAAGGGAGCTTCGGTTATACGCCTGGCGTCGTTTGTTTTTATTTCGCGGCCGCGTGCTTGTTTATTGTGTTTATTGTGGCTATACGACACGACAGAAACGGTGCAAGAGCATAACTAGAGATCCAGCGCGCCTGTTGCTTGTCACATGGATGTTTTGAGCATTAGCTTTAGACCTTTGTGTGCTTCAAGTGTTCGTTTTCCGCAATGCGTTCACTGCATTGGAGCTGACGGTTGAAGCGTGGATAATTACTTCGAAGTCAGGGCCGTTTCTCTCCAGTCAGCCTTCTGAGCGTATCCGTGGTACTCATTTGCAATGCTTTAATGAGCACAAAATTCAAGGCGGCTCATACACGGTTTTTCTTACGGTTTCCGCGTGGTCTTACATGCTGTATCCTTGAGCGGAGGCCGTTTAGAAGTGATTTCTTTCGCTTTTCAGGGCGTACGAGCGAGTGACCCTTACGGCATTTGCTGCACGTATTAATTTGCGAAGCCTTCCTGAAGTTGCTTTTAAGCAGGCGAGGCGAAAGCAGTTCAATCGTCGTATCTTGCTCGAGCTTTAAGAGTGTTCACAGACAATCGGCTTTGTATACAACTGGCATATGCTGTCCTTGCGTGATTATCTGTACGTTTATGCCCTTCATTATTATTTCCACGGGAAGCTTCATCCGTTACGTCATCTCCAAAAGGAGTTTCTTCCGCTCCATCTGGGCATTGTACGGTGCCCTGCTTTCCGTCTCTTGTGACACTGGTAAGGCAGCGGTGCTTGCATCCCCGTGAGGGGGGCGTCTGCTCTTTGAAACATTGAAACATGCTCGGGATCGTGCGGATAAACCGTGATAGCCT